GTGGCTGGGAGTTGTAGCTCAATACAACCTGGCTTTGATCTCAGGGCCTCAAAAAGAAAAAAAAAAAAAAGTTAATACAACTTGCCGAAGTAGTAAAAGGTGTATTCTACACCAGAATCTAGAAAACAATAAAAAGGTCTTGAATTTTTAAATCATAACACAAAATACGGCACTAAAATTCACCACTATACTTTAAAGGCATTGGGAAACCTTAGCAAGTTTAGAAAAGATTCAGAAGCTTATTTCTGTGCCATTTCCCAAACTATTGACAAAAGAATCTTCAAATTTCTAGTTTTATATGCTGTTCCCAATGCAGAGAAATCACTTAGTAATGGGAACTACTGAAAAACCATGTCCAAAAGACACATTCAAAAATCCAACCATGAATAAAAAATTAAAAACTTGTAATCTGACACCAGGAAAACATAATGAAAGCTGCAGTCCAGATTCTGTTACTCAATCTACAAACCTCATAAATGGAAACAAAGCAGCCCAATTTCCAGCTGGACCAAATGCCTAAAGAGGAGCTGCCAGAGCCCAGGCTGTAAAAGAGCCCCATGCACTCTCCACTCCTGCCAGAGAACATGCTCAGGGCACCAGCCTCCATCTCCTGGCCTTAACTATTTGTTAAGTGGTTCAGATTTGGGCACTTTTTGCTCTAATGGGTAGGAGCTTTCAAATTCTAGAGGACTCTTATGAAAACCCCAGAATCATTCACAATTATGGACATGCTAACAGTCAGTAGGCAGAGAAACGTAGGTTTAAGTATCAGCTGTGCAATTTTACAACTGCAGGAACTTGGGGAGGGACCCACAGGTCCCCAGCCTTCTCCTGTGTAATGGTTGATAGGTGTGAAAAGCCTGGATGGCATCTTGCACTGATGTCGTTCTCCTTACCCTTCACATTCTCTCTCTCATCCATTCCACTGACACAGATCACCCACACTGTTAAATGGACCTTCTTTCCACCAGTCTTGCACCCCTAAATTCACTCATAATAATGCACAGAGGGACTGGTCTAAAAAGCAAATCTGATCTCTCTACTGTCCAAAACTGAAGGAATACACTGCATCAATGAATCTCACTCACTATTCTTCTTTAACTTGAAGTTCGTTACTGACCTTGTGTTCTTAAGTTTACCGGTTCTTAACACACTGCAGAGGCTTTATTCAATTCTCAGTGAGGGAGAGTTATTTAAGTTGGGGTTTCTTCCTCATTCTATAAAAGTCCCCCCACCCAATTAAGAAGAATAAAGGGAATAATATTATCAGAGAGCCTAGCAGAGTGCCTGGTACTTACTGCCACAGCTTCTCACTCTCATCTTTTGTTCCAAAGTTTACAAAGTGCTTTCACACATGTGAGCTCATTTGTTCTAACAACTTTGAGACCTATGAGGTCACAAGGAAGGAACTGAGGCTGGTAATTTCCAAGACCTGCTCAGTCAAGGCTACAGGTCAGGCAGACTTACTGATCCCAAAACTTGAGGGATTTTTTTTCTTTTATTACGCTGATCTTTTAAGAGTTCTGGCTTTTTTCAGAGAAAACAATATAGAAGGGAATAAAAAATATTTTCCCTTTATCAAATGTCTCTGAATATATGATACAGATATCCATCCCTTCTATAACATCTATTCAGTATTTTATTACATTTAAGGAATATAAACACAGAGGTCAAATTCAACTATCATATATTCTAAGGGACTTTGATTTGTTTTATATCCTATAATTACTTTAAGCTATCAACAAGTTCGTTCATTCCACCACTCAGCAAATATTTATCACACATGAACTTCACATAGGGCATTGAATGTTGCATGTTGGGTGCTGGAAATATTTGGTATTCCTGAGATCAAAAGTCTAGGCCTTCAAGGTTGCTCAGCTGAATGTAATGATGAATGATATAGAAGCTTGTTCTGGGAGGTATTTGAATAAACAGTCATAAACTAGAAGCCAGGACATCAGGTTATGCTCCTACATAAGCTCAATGGCCTTGGATAAGTCCCTAGTACTCAGTTTCCTTACCCAGAAAGTGGAAGAATTAGTCCACATTATCTTTAAAGTTACTCCATTGCTGTGAAATCTAGAGATTCCATATAATTGGCAAGCCCTTTTGACAGCTACCAAGGACATAATTTTATAAATTTGTAAGATGTAAGATGATTTGTAAGCTGTAAGATTTTATAAATTTGTAAGGATTTATGGTAGCTTGAAAGAATAGTTCCAGATTGCTAGAAACTGCTGGAAATTTTTAACTACATATAAATTTAGACCATTTTTAATAATCTTGAAGCCAATTTAGCTTGCAAATTGCCCCTACATCAAAACTGCAATTTTATGTGTAGATTGTGATCTTTAAATGATTTCTTTCAGCTGGGCATGGTGGTGCATGCTTATATGTAATACCAGCACTTTGAGACTAAAGCAGGTGAATTCCAAATTCTCACCCAACCCAAGCAACTGAAAAGGGTTAGAGATGTAGTTCAATGCAAAAGCCCTGGGTTCAACCCCCAGGGCCACTAAATAAATAAATAAGATCTACCTAATTAGAGAACTTAGGACTCAAAATCTCTTTTTCTTAATTTCTCTATGACATGTAACTTTGGGATGAATGACAAACTCTTTTATACAAAGTAGCCCTTTAATCCAATCTGTTAGCATAGGTTTATGTGCACAAGCTCTTTATGGCCTTACTTTCAAGCTTCCTGCCCTCTTTTCGATCTCAGCTAATCACAGCTGGCCGTGTAAACCTTAGTGCCTTGAAAGGTCATCGGCTGAGGTGGACGATGTCCTCCTAGGAATGCACGACCCATGTCCTTCCCTGTCACTGAGAAGACACTGGTCTAAGCATCATTCGAACAGATACATCCAAAATAGAGTGCGTTTCTTCACATCAATACACAAAAAAAGTATCTGTCCCCAAATTCTTGTTTCTTAGTTCTTTAGGAACAATCCTTTTTTTCTCATCTGCCTGTCTAACCTTAACTGAGCTCCTACTCCATCACTGCGGTGATGTATGCTGAATACAGCGGTGAGAACAGGTTCAGACAGTGTCACCCACTCTTGTGCCATATCCTCTTCCAGTAGAGAAGTGCACCAGAGGCTCGCCAAGTTGAGTGAATTGGATTTTAGCCTCCACTTGCCTGTTGGTAAAGATGACCTTACACAGTGAACAACTCACAGAACTACACAAAGTGGCCTGACCAGATGTGTACATGAAAAATGTGTTCTAGGCCTGGAGATACAGCTCAGCGGTAGAGCATTTGCCCTAACACACCCAAGGCCCTGGGTTCAACCTTTAGCAATGCCAAAGGAAAAAATAAAAATGTGTTCTATAGAGGCACTGACAACCAGAAGAGGAAGAGTTTAACTGTGCCAAAAGATAAGAGAAAATAAAGCTTCCTAGAGAACGTATTTGCCTGATACATGATAGATGTGTGGGTAATCAACAGATGGACAAGAAAAGTAAAGAGCAGTAGAAGCAGAAAGTTCATTCACTCCAGATAATGGCATGGAAATGATAACCTGCAAGTAGTTCTATGTGCCTGGAGCAGGCCATGTGTGTGTGTCCCTGTGTGTAAGGGGGAAAGAAAATGAGGAGACCTGGGTACAGTCGCTAGAGGAGACAGGGAAGGCAGATGGGCCACGTTATAAAGCATCTTAAATGCCACGGTTAAGCTGCTGAAACCTGATTCTGCATATACTAGGGGCTTGTTCCGCTACTGTAAAAAACTCCTCAGTTACACCTTGCCATATTTTTTTTTAATTTATCCATCACAAAACCTGATACCCAAGAAACAAGTTTTACCTTCCTGTAAGCTGAGCAGGCAAAAATGAAATGAAATAAAGATTCGCTTTTAGAACTCTACTTATCTTGATTCTACATTTTTAAAACGTAAAAATCTTAAAGGATATCAGGAAATAGTTGTAAGTGTGTATATATACACAAGTTATAAGGTCAGCAGTTGACACTTTATTCAGACCCTAGGGCTGAAATATTAACAGCACAGGATCTGTGCCTGTAGGAAACTTGAAGACATTTCAGAAGCTTTTAAAGACATTCTAGTGTAAATCTTTTGGGAAGCGAATTGGAGATGACCAGGTGTTATCTGTTAAAGTATGTTTATCAGCAGCCTTTGGGAAGCAGAAGGTAGAATAGCGAGTAACTCAGAGAAAAGCACCAGGGACCTCTACACACAGTCAGCAAGCGCACCACTACCTGGGGCTGCAGAAGAGAGGGGATCACCCCCACCCCGTGGGATCAAGCAGCCCATCTCAACCGTAAACGAAGTTACGCTATCTTTCAGTGTTTTTTAAAAGTTGAGAAGAAGCACGGAAGCTCATCCACATAAAGTTTCACCGTTTCCTAAAGATAAAAACACATCGTGCAATTTTACTCGCGCTACTTTAGGCAGCTGTGTGCAATCAACGGTTGAAGAATGGGCTTTTTGCTTTCTAAACTGTTTTTGGTAAACACGATCCTTCGGGGACACGAGTCGGCTTTCAGGGAAACCTGGCACCCCAGCCCCCAGGAGCAGTGCTGGCCCAGAGTGGTCGGCGGGCGGCCGCGCCGGGACTCTGGCCCCCTCCCGCGCCCCGCCGCGCCCGAGGGCTGCGCAGGAACCGCTCGGGTCCACTCCTGCCGGGGCGGGGGCGCAAAGCCGTTCCCTGCAGCTCCCCAGACCGCCCCGACTGCCAGGCTGGGCCGGCGGCCAGTCGGCCCCGGGATGGGGAAGGGGGGTCCGGAGACCTCGATTCAGAGACTGGAAAGTGTTCGACCCCCCGGGCCAAGCTGCCAGGAACCCCGGCGGAGAAGGTGCCCCGGCTGCGCCCCCAGGTCGCCTCCCGAAGCCAGCGGGAAGGGAAGAGGGCGCCCACAAAGGGGCCGGGGTTGAAGGGGTCGCTGCGGGGCGCCCCGCCGCAGAGTCCTGGGAGCCCTCTGGGAGACGCCGCGGCCGGGCACCGCCGTCCAGCCCCCGCGTCCCCGCTGCACGGCGCCCTTACCTGGGGTCCCGCGCTGGCACTGTGAGGGTCGGTGGCGCCGGACGCTCGCGCTGCTAAGGGCGAGGCTCCAGGGGACGCCGGGAGAAGTTTCTAGGGTCACCTTGTTCTCCACTTGGGCGTGCGCTGCGAGCCCACGGTCAAGGCAGCCCCCGGCCCGCGAGCAGAGACCGGAGACCGACCCGCAGCCGCACCTTTCTCCGCGGCCGCCGGGCCACGCCCAGGGCACGCCCCGCTCCCGGCCACGCCCCGTCCGCGAGGACACGCCCCCGCGCCCGGGCCGGACCCCGCCTTCTCCCGGTCGCTCTCTTGGGAACTTCCCATCCCCCCCAAAACAGAGAGTCAGTCCGCCCTCCCAAGGACCGCAGATTGAAGCGAAAATGCGATCCTGTCACTTCCCAAAGGTTCTACAGTGAAGACAGTGTTTCCTGGGTCCCACAGAGAGATGACTCCGCAGACGCAGGAGAGACTGCAGGGTGGAAGAGACAGACGAGGACGCTGAGGAGCAGGAATGCAGGCTCCCTGCAGCCCGAGTCCCAGAACCTCTCTCCCGCCCTGCACCGAAGGCTCTGCGCTGGAGAGGACAGCGTAGGGAGGGAGGCGTAGTTGATGGGTTACCGGGTCCTCCCAGAGGCAGACCCGCGCCAGCACTAGCTGTGGAGGATTCTCTTGTGGGAAGGGTTGTGGAACCAAAGGGAAAGGGAGCTGGGGAGAGCGCCAGATACTGGGCAATCGTGACCCCAAATGAAGGGGAGGAAAGCACCCCTCCTAACCTGCTGCAGTCTAAGATCATCCGCGAGTTCTACAACCGAAGTTTCCAGTTGTAGGGATCCCTGTTCTTCTCGGATTCTCCTGGGAGCAGCCAGGCGGAAAGTGTGGCCCAGGGCACAACCCAAGCGCTGGATTTCAGAGAACAACAGCTAGGACCCTTGGTCGGTTGGGCTGCAAAAGAGCTGGAGCTCCGTGCAGATTTGTGAGGAGCCTTCACGCCTCCCCACAGCTGCCTCAAAAGGAGTTGTAAACCCCGAAGGGTTTGCTGGAGTCAGACTGACCAGTCCTCCACCCTCCATCACCTCAGAATCGGTGCAGACTGATCCAGTAGTGCTGACACTCCCACTGCCTTAGGGTCCCTCCTGGTCCAGGCCAGGAAGCCTTACCACATGGCTCCCCTAGGAAAAGCCCCCTCCACTCACCTTCCCTTAATCTCTCCCGGCATCGCCTCCTCTAAGACAATTTTGTTTAGCATGTTATTTCCACAGCCCTTCCACGCTAGGGGAATGTTTTGTTTACTTTTCTTGCATATTATATTGCATTTTTTCTGATTCTGAAGGTAATATATTTGTTGTACAAACTTTTAAAAATATCTATGGCCGAGGTGGCCCCAACTCCCCCAGTCTCACAGAGATACCACACCTTGATAGCCAAGCCCTGAGCCTCCATCCCATGTGTTGTAGTCTGTGTCCAATCAAGAGAGACCCACACAACAATTCAAAAAGTTAAGTTTAATAAAATTGTCAACTGTAATAGGATTTGGAGTAAGAAGGGATAGGCTAGGTAAGAAGAGAAATCGAAAGAAAATAGGAATAGCAAACAGAAGATTTAAGGAGCCACATTCCTAGGGTTGAGACAAAGCACGCCAGGGTGAGCTTTCCCTTCCCCCTTCCAATGGGGCTGAGTCCAGATCCCCTTTGGGTGGGCAAGCCATCTAAATAGCGGAGGTGTCTTTATGGTTCATGCCATAAAGAAAAAAGCTGGACATTCCCACTTTAGGACTTGCTGGACATCTACTTTTTTAGGGTGTAGAGGGAGCTGTTCGCATGAAGATACCCTCTGAAAGCACTTCACTACCAAAGCCCTCAAGGGTGGTACTGCAGGCTAAGTGCTCCTGGTGAAGCTACCCACCTGCAGAAGCCTGCCTAGCCCAAGAGCCCAGCAGCCACTAGGAAAACTGGTCCTCCTGGGTGTCTCTAGACCTCTGCCTGCTAACTACCCAACCTGCAGACAATAGCAGTTATTAAAGGGGCCCAGCTCCACTTTTACAAAGAAGGTATAGGGTGACATTGAGGCTGAGAGACAATGTGTTGACAACTGGTACACTGGGTCACTTCAGAAGATCCGGGTGCTGTCCAGCTTTCTCTTCCAAAATCTCCATTCACATTCAGGGTGAATACCAGCATCTCCACAAGTCTCTTCCCGCCCACCCGCAGGGACTTGTCCCCTCAGCCAGCCGTTCTGTTCCTGACATCTCTCTGCTGCAGGCTGCCTCTTATCATTCCTCCCCAGCCGCTTCACCTCTGTTGGAGGTGCAGATGACGCCTCTCCCAGCTTCTCATCACACAGCTAGGACCAGACTGAGAGATCAGCAAAATCTGATGGAGGCTTTTGGGCAGACAGAAGGAAATTACAGAAGGAAAACGAAAAATACTAAAACCAAGTAATAGTTCTGAAGACATGAAAACGTCCACGGGACTCTCCACAGGTTGTCTCTCTCCTCAGCTGGCACCCTGATAGGAGGCAGAGAAGCAACAAGTCTCCACAGGGGAGGAGTCTCACTGCGCCCCCACTGGAGGCAGACGGCAATGTCACAGACCTGGCAGACAGCACAGGTGGTTCATTGGTCTACACTCCTGGTTCCGTTCCACTAGACAAGAAAAGAACTGTGGAGTTAGAGTCTGTCAGTAAAAATGAACATTCGTATCTTGATAGGAAGAGAATTTAGTTCCTAATCCTCATTTAACTCATTTAATAGTCCATGTACTGAGTGTCTACTCAACCCCTGGCCCTGTGCTGGGCAGCAGGGATATAATCTATAATTGTTACAATCTGAGGGGGACAGTAAACAATCTTACAGATAGTTATTTTTGTATCTCATAAATGCTGTGATGATGTAAAGCGTATAACACAGGTTGCATATCCCTTATCTGAAATGCTCGGGACTAGAAGTGTTTGGGGTTTCTGGTTTTTCAGCTTTTGCAATTTTTGCATATTCCTGAGACTTCCTGGGGAAGGGGCCCAACTCTAAGCATGAGACACATGTATGTTTCATATACATCTTATACCCACGGCTTGAAGTAATTTTACAGGATATTTTTAATGTGCCCAAGTTTTGAGGACCCATCACATAAGGTCAAGTGTGGAATTTTCCAGTTGTATTATGTTAGCTTTCAAACAGTATCAGGCTCTTGAAGCATTTCTGCTTTCAGACTTTTAGATTAGAAATGTTCAAGCTACAACAAATGTTCACAGAACCCTGGGGGCTATGGAGGCAACATCTAAGAGTCCTGCAGCCCTGCCTGGGAGTGGGATCATTCCAAATAAGGGGAATGGTGGGCTGGAGATTTAGCTCAATGGAACCATGCCTGCCTCGAAAGTACAAGGTCCTGAATTTGATCCCTGATACCAAAAAACCAAGCAAACAAATAAGGGGAATGGTGCCTTTGAGCCTCTGAGTGGGGAAGGAGCCAGGCCCCTCTGAAGGAAAGACAATTAGGACAGAGTGACAGGAGATGAAGCCAGAGAAAAAAGCAAGAGTCAACCATGCACAGTCATGCAAGCATGTTAATAATTTTGAAGCCAGGCCTGTAATCCTAGCTACTCAAGAGGCTGAGGCAGGAGGATCTCAAGTTTGAGGCTAGCCTGGGCATTTTAGCAAAACCCTGCCTCAAAATAAGTTTTTGAGAAAGTGCTGGTAGATATGTGGTAGAGAGTTTGCCTGGCATGAGTGACCCTTAGGTTCAATCTCCAGTACTTAAAAAAAGAAAGAAATCTTGGATTTTTGTCCCTAGATTAATGAAAGCACTCCAAAACAGTTTAAGCACCATTCTAGCTGGTAGATGGAGAATAGCCTGAAGGGTACATTTAAGAAGAGTCTATTGGGGAAAAGTATAGGAAGATTACATAAATCTAGGGCTCAAGAAGGAAATTGAACCTGCAGACTGAGAAGAAACTGGCATGGAAAAATAGTATCTAGCCAGGGAATTGTTGAAATGCCCTCAGTGGATACCAGAGAGTGAAGAGAGACTGAAGCCTGAGAACTGGGGTGGGTTAGCAAAGGGGACTAGGAGGAAGGGCCAGGGAGGCCCTTTATTTCCTTTACCACAGAGGAGGATCAGCTTGCCCATAGCATCACTGAATGAGCAATTAAAGGAAATCTACTCCCAAAGTAAATTCAAATTTCCACCCCTAGCAAAGACAAGAACCATGTGAAGGGTTAAATGACCACCTACTTTCCTGACCATCCACTCCCTTTACAGACATCAGGGTTCCCAAACCACTCAGCTATACTATCCTTTTCTACAAAGCTACAGAACCTTAATAATAGTAACAGTAACAATAAAATAGTTGCAATTATACCACCTAGACATAAATATTTTGTCACATTCTCCTGCAGAATCTTCGTGTCTAGATTACCCAAATCTTGGGAAAGGGATCATCTTTATCTCCAGTAACTCAGTGTATTTCCTGACCCACAGAAGGTGCCTAGCAGTGTCTGCAGAATTAATTCTGTTTCTAAAACCCTCTAGAACTGTGCAGTATTCTGGTCGCAGGACACTGAGCCAACAGCCTCAATAAACAAGTCATCCTTCCCCTGAATTCCCTCTCAGGTTCCTTAACACACTTTTCTTACTTTGGGAAGATTCTTCTGAGTGATGGCTCTTTGCTTTCTTTCCTTTCACAGCACCTGAAAGAAGAGAGTATTCCTGCCTTGGTTTGAGTGCTGCCAGCGACATAAGGGACCTTGCATACAGCCACAATAGCAACCCCATAGGAAATGATTGCATTTAGTTCCTAGCCATTATGAGCTCAAATGTAGTTTTATAGCCTGTTTGTAAAAGACACCAGGATCCCAGCAGGGGCTCCTCCTACCAAGTACATGACTCAATGCCCCAGAACATTAAGAAGCTACCCCTACTGTCTCCGCCCAGTGTCCCCGTCCAGATCTAGGGAATGGGAAAGACTGCACTGACTCCAGTCCAGCCTCCAGAATAGGCAGGAAGTTCTGCCAATGTGCCAGGCTAATTTTGGAGCACTTGAGATTTCTAGAAGATAGCCTTTCCAAAGAAGACCATGTTTCTTCCTCCTGATGCTCACTTGGCCAAATACAAATGGGTCTCTGCTGGCTGCTCAGAGCTTGCAGGACTCACTTCACTGCACGTTTTAAATCTCTGAAAGAAAGAAGGTGGTAGTCTTGACTGAAGTTCCGAAAAGTCATTTT